ACCACTTGTTATGAAAAACCTCCTGGGGAGGAGGAGGAGAAGTGCAAGGCAACGCAGTCAGGGAGAGGCATGTCTGGGAGCAGCAAGCACCTACGAGGGCATCTCCTTCCACCTTCCTCTTCACAAAGCCCGTTCTTGTTCCCCTGGAAGAGATGTCCTTTTGGGTCCCTGACAAAAGCCCAAGCAGCTGTCAGGAGCTGCTGTGCTCACTGCTGGCACTGCACACCTGGAACAGCTGGCCAAGCCTGCCTGCCAGCAAGGACACACAGCGTGTTGTCCTTATAATTAAAATTAATTCCCTGAAGTGCTTTCTCCTCTTCCCCAGACACAGCAAACAGCTGGAGGCTGAGATTAAGGATTCTGATGCCAATTAGAGCTGTGATAAGGCCAGACACGACACATGGGGAGCAGTAGTGCACAGCTCTGCTGTGGAGAGACGAGACGGTGCTGGGAGCTCCTCTGTGACAAGGTACGAGGCAGCTTCCAGCTGGGCCCAGAGCAGTCCCGGGCCAGGAGGGCAAGGGTGGCCAGAGCCGTCCTGGGGAGGAAGCCACCTGGTCCTGCCCCGTTATGTCCCTGCAGCGGTATGTGTTGTCCCATCCATGCATCCTGCACTGTGGAGACTACCTGGGGACAGGCAGAGTGCACCCACTTGGGCAGTTCTCAGAGGAGGTTTGGAAGAAGGCCCGTAGGGTGTTAAAAAACCAGCAAGAGATTAATGTGGGTGGCTTCTTGTCTCTGCAGGCCTTCAGAAAGCTCTTTGTGCTTCCTTGGTGACTGAGACAGCCAGGATATACACACAGGTTGGGAAAACAGAGCTCCCCCTCTTCCTCTGAAAATTAGAATGTGCCCTGAGCCTGGCTTTTGCTTTTCTGGATCACAGTGCCAGCCATGGTAAAACCAATTCTTGTTTCTCTCTACTATGTTCATTCCCAAGCAGGGAGGGAGATTTGCTCGCAGGAGGGATGTGCCTCGTAGCAGCCCTTCCAAACTGAAGGCTGCTTCCTGCTCGCCGTAGGTGTGTGTCTGCAGGATGAGCCTGGCTCAGCCCCAGCATCCCCAGGCAGAGCATCTCTAGGGAGGTGGACTTGCAGCCTTAGGGGATCCCCTGGCTTAGCACCCAGCCCTGCTCCAGAGCCGGGCGATAAGGGATGTTCGGGTTTGCTTCCAAAACACCTCTCTCATCCCATGCCTTGGAGAGCCAAGGCACTCTGCCAGCACCCACGGCACCATTTATGCACCAGTGGCATACTCTTCTCCCTTCTCTTCCCAATTCTTAGTAAAATGTTTTAAGCAATTTTTTTTTTGTTTGTTTTTCCAGTGTGAGCCAAACAGCTAATATTTGTCCTAATCTCTTCTTTCAAAAGAGCTGGGTTTTACTGCAGACTTCACCCAAGGATTTGGCTGGAAGAAGACACAACTTGGACAGAAATTACTAAGGTCTGCTCTAGCACAGCCCAAAGCTCCTGACACAAAGGTTGTGCTGTCCTTGCCCCTGGGTTGTGCTGCCAACCATGGAGATAACTAGCACGTCTAGCATCTTCCCTCCAGACTTCAGAGCAAGTGGGCACACTTTCAGGAATGTGACATTTTATGCTTTCTGCCCCTGCAACTTAACTTTCTTTTTAAACTAGTGCAAATCCAGAAAGGTGCCATATGTTGCAGCAAAGCACAACACTTCTCCCACCTGCCTCGTTGGACTCTGCTGCCCAGTCAAACACAGCAGAGGGGAGACACAGGCAATCTAAGCAAACCCAAGAGCAGCTCAGGAGCTGAGCACCGTACAGGCAGATAGAGACACAGCCACGCACATCCTAGATCTGGACACCTTCTTTGCTTAGAGTAATTTGTCCTTTGCTGAATCCCATGCTGCCATGGAGGGCTGTGTAGCCTCAAGAGCAAGGCTCTCCCATACTGAATCTGGGACTTGAATGAAACCTAGATATCTTGTCATACTGGGCATGGGGAGGTGTGTACTCCCTGCTCACAGACTGAGCCTTGTAGAGAGGGATACAGCTCATTTGCACACACAGACGCACTGGGAAGCCAGAAAACCAGAGTAAACATGGCTTTTCCAACTGTTTTGTGCATTGCTTTAGGCACAGACCTCCAAAAGGGACCATGAGGGGTATGTTTCTGTGACACTGGGTTTATTCCAAGACAAGGATTGCTCCCTATTCTGTCCAGGGTTTGGGAATAATAGCTGAGTCCACCTTGGGGGTTGGGAGTGGGGTAGGTGTTTTTCTGAGGTCCCAAAACCGTAAGGGACTGTGGTTCTCCTTCTCCCTTCCTCTCCCAAGCCGGCCTACAGATGCCCGTGCTCACCCCTTCCTCTCATCCCACTCTTCCCTTTTGCAGCCAAAATTACAGAATCGGGTGGTAAAGATTAAAACCACTCCTGAAACTACCCTGGGCAAGAAAGGAGCATTTAGAAGATTAATTCCTCCAATCCCCTTATTCCAATTAGGGTCCTTTCTCTTACAGACCTGGGAATGGTCCAAAAAATTACTCTGATCTGCTCTCAGTGGACAGCAGTGTCACGGTCAGCTCCTCGGCCTGGGGAACACCCACCTGCAGAGAGGTACAAGAGAAAATCCCCACTACACACATGGACTCACACACCTACATATTAAGAAAGAAAAAAAAAGAATGGGGAGGTAGAAGTTCCTGAACACCCCATAAGCTGATTAAAGGGTATTTTATTTTTACGTAGGGAGGATTTAGCCATGCAGTTCCTAGTACCATCTGACCTCAATAAACTCCCATGCCATCGCTGGGTGCTGCCATTGGATGAGGTCATGGCCTGTGTCGGGGCTCCTTGAAGGTCAGCTGCACCAAACAGCTCCATCGGGACTTGCAACACCACTGCTGGATGTGTGTGGTGGGTGAGATGGTCCTTCCCCAACAGTCTCAGCCTGTCTCGACCCTTGTGCACTTAGCCATCTCAAAGCCATGGACCCCAGTGAGAGCAGTGCAGAGGCTGTAGGGACATTCTGGGATGTGTGTTTTGGCCAGCTAGGACCTCCATGAAGAAGAGCAGCCCCAGCAGATCCTAGGTGGCTGCAGAACACAGCTGGGGTCTGGACTGTGGACAAGCTGGCAAGGGATGTGACCTTGTAAGGGTTGCCCTGGATAAACACCAACCCCAAAGACTGGCTGGGCTTTCCTGGTCCAAAGCAGGAGCAACAATGTCCGCATGACACTGTAACAGCATTTATCCAGCCTGTTCTTAAAGCTCTCTGGAGGTGGAGTCTGAATGCATCCACACTGCTCCTCCAGCCAGAAAGTCTTTTCTGATCTCCTGTATCAATTCCTCTGAAGTGTGAATGGGAATTTCTCCCTTTCAGAACTCGGAATGACCTCCCAGAGCTCTGATTTTTGAGAGTCTGCCTGCATCCTTCTTGTGGTGTGGGCTCAGGATACCGAGCTGTATGATGAAATCCTCTCTTTTTCAAAATGCAGTTTCTTGTGTCTTTTCCTCCAACACAGAAAAAGGCCTTGTGCTCTCCTTAGATATTGCCAAATTTGGGGCTAATACATTTAACATAGTTATAAGATGCTGCGTTTTGTACTGCAGGTTTGGTGACCCCTCCCGCCCACTGTAAAGAAGAGAAAAAAGACCTTCCTCTGTGCCAGTCTCAGCTTTGATGCCTTTGGGATGATGCCATTAGATACCCTTTAATGCAGAGCCATTGTGTGGAAGTGGGGATGGCCCTTCTGTTTTGTAGCCTCAGCTCACTGCCATGCACGAGGGTGTCCCCAGCCCACAGTGGGCTGCTGTGAATAGCCCTTGCACCCATGGCAACTGGATTTACTTAATACAGCTCACCACAGGTTTCTCCACGCTGCACACGTCAGGCGGTGTCAAGCCTAAGGACAAGTGACTGCACAAAGATCCCGGTGGCTTTACACCTGGCAACAGCTTCAGGGCAGCTCACGTCCTGCTCAGGGGTGGCGCCAAGGCTCACAGGTCCCTTCTCCCTCCTGCTCTGGGGCGTCTCTCCCTGCCCCTTCAAGGAGTGTTGGCACACAGCCTCGGTGCTCCTTAGTGTTACCACTTCGCCATACATCCTGTAACCACTGTGTTATGTCCCAGGAACAGGCACGTCACTGGCAGCTGGTGGCAAGGATCAGTTTGGCCCTGACTTCTTGCAGCTTTGGGTATGAGGGCTGTGCAAGGAGTGGGGATCAGGTGAGGGCAGCAATTTCCTTTTCCTTTGCCATTCTTAGTCAATGACTGGGAGCTTTTCTCTGCAATGGTGCTGCATAGATGGGTTAGATTACAGTGATTAATGGATGATTTTCACGCTTTGTGCCTGCTGGCTGCAGCAAGGGGAATCTCCACTCCCACTCTGAATGCTCACACAAATGGAGGATGGAAAAAGCAAAATGCAAATTCACAAAGCTCCATTCAGCTGATATTGCTAAACAGTTTTGTTTATCACTTTCATTTCCATAATGTCTCCTGATGGGAGTTTAATGTTAATTCTGGTTAAAGGAGAATCAGATGTTGTTTCAGGACTGGGGATTTGATTTGGGCTCCAGTTTATTCAGGTATAAATTTCATCTTGCAAGAAGCTTTTGAGTTTCCTTGCATGGTCCTGAATTTCCTCATCAGGGGCCTCAGGACCTGCATTTAGGCTCAAGCCCGTGGTTGTCACCCGCATTATGTTGCAGCAGCGCTGGACACGGCCACACCTTTCCCACCCCATTGCCTTTTCACTCTGCCACTGTTGCTGCAAGGCAAACCCTGCTTTTGTTGCAAAGTAGATAAATTAGGTTACTTGGCTCATGTTCTTTCAGTCCCTAGAAGCTTTTACTCTCCTGTTACTCACTCTCTGCTGCCATCATGGGGCCACTTTTCCAGCACAACTTCTTCCATGTGCCTCTTACCTAGACCCGTTTTGTTTCTCACGGCAAACGGAGTTTCCCCTAGGGCTTGGGGGTATTTCAGACCCATTGAGGTTATTGGCAAAGGACGGGAAATCACATTAGTCATTTTTAGCTCCCTATATGTTGTTTAGCCCTTTTAAAAGAAACTTTTTTCCCCTCCTTGAATTGTTCTTACATGGTCTTTCTTAGTGTAGATGTTTGGCAACACCACTAGCCCAAGGTGAAGCTGGTCACCACCCATGCAGACATAAAATATGAATCCAGAGAATATGAAGATTTAAATGCAAAGAACAAAAAGACAAGAATTTCGGATGTCACTAATGTCACTGGGGGCTCCCAAAGCAGGGCTGGGTGCCCAGAAGAGCTTTAAGCTGCCATGGGAGAAGGATGTGACTCACACCCATCGGCACCTGGTTGTCTAGAGATTAAATGCATCAAAAGAGGCCGTGACACTACAACAAGTTGTATCAGATCAATGGTGGAAACGCTGCAAGAGGAGTGCCAGCTGAAGAGAGCAGTTGTTACACTAAAGAGAGAAAAATGGTTGGGAAATGCCTGCACGGGTGTGGGACTGACCTGCACTGTCTGAAAGGAGGAAAACGGGCTCCCCTGTCCAGGTGATGGCCATGGCACCCCTTGGTCCTCAGTCCTGGAATGGGACCTGGAATGTCCCTGCTGTTTCTTCCCCTCCCTTTTGCAGGGGTCCAGCTGCAGCCTGCGGTCACAAGCAGTCGTGCTGAAGCTCCTGCTCATCAGTGCTGGGGTTATTCTTCTGAAGGAAAGATGACAGAGAAAATCAGGTCCCTCCCAGCCCTCTAGTCATGAAGACACCCTCTGTTTTGGGGGGATTTTTTTTTGTAGACAGGGAAAAGTGTAATATAGCTCCTATTTCCCCAGCTGGAAGATGATTTATTTACAACGATTAATCCTTCCAAGATACTTTATACAACATAAAGAAGCAGAGAAAGGGCATAATCCTATTTTCTCCCTCCATGTCCATGTCACCTTTAGCAGCAGTATTTGAGAGCAACCAGCTCTAAACCCCAGCAAAGTCAGGGAATATATTCAGGATGTTTTCTATGCATGTATAAGTATGCTTCATTCTTTGAAGCTGTGATACAATCTGTTCTCAGCAGACCTTTCCTGGCTGTGAATCCACACGACTCTGAAACCACAGCTTGAAAGGTATCGTCCCCTTGTGCTGAAGTCAGCCCTCACCCAATGTTTGCCGTAAAAAAAGTGACACATTGTTTAGCCAAATTGCAGGTACACACATACACTCACTGACAGATCCTGGCAATTGCAAACAAAACCCCAGCCAGGATTAAAAAAGAAGAACAGAAGATTAAGCTTCTATTAAGAGGTAATTAAAGCCAGGAGGAGAGATAATGATGACAATCATAATGACTCAATTGGTACAGGGATGTTTGCCCAACAAATTACTGTCATTATAGACAGAAGCAGGAATTATTACCCATCAGCAGAAATACAGTCCATCGAACTGCTGTGGATGACCTGATTGAGTTTAGAGAGTAATTAAAAGGACGTTGCAGCCTGGATGCATTATTTGCTGTTAATCATGATTACTCATATTCATATGTTTACCCAAATAATCGCTTCTGATAAGGGCTGCAGATTTATAGGGGGCCATGGAGAGGAGTGGGCCAGTGGCGCGTTGTAACCGTGAGACAGCTGAGAGCCTGGAGTGACCACGGTTAGGTGAGTACGCTGTGCTGACATGATCAGGCTGGACAGGCTGCCTTCTCCTCTCTTTCAATTTTTGGGTAGTGGATTTTAGGCCTCTGTGACACTTTGCTGAGCCATTGCCATGAGGCCATCCACCTCCTGAACAGCAATGCTGGTAATATGTGGGGGTTTCCTCCTCTGGAGCAACCAGAGGAAAGAACAGAGCCCAGACAGCAGCTAGACCAAATGGCTTCCAGAAATATGTGGTCTTTAGTTTTAGGTAGAGCACAACAACGGGCAGGAGCAAGAAGGTGTGCAAGTGTGTACCAGCCTTTTGGGAACTCTCTTAGCAGTCCTGCCCCTCCAGGGTGGTGAGAGCCTTGATTCAGCAAAGCCTTGGGGTGCAATCTGACATTTCAGCAGTCGGGCTTTTCTACTAGACAGGTCGGAGATGCTCCCAGGTCCTGCGCTGGCTAGGTGCACACTTGTTCAGCTAAAGGTCCCAACTAGCTTTGGAGTTTGCATTTCTTGAAAGCCAGCATCACTGGGGAGGGCAATAAAAAGTCCAGAAGTATCTTAGGAAGGTTAAACAGCTCTACTGTGACCACACTGAAGATCTACCTCCTTCTGACTGATTAGAAAAACCAATGCAACACATCACTGATACACAGGGGAAGTTCCCCAACAGCTATTACTGATCCTAGCAACTTCAGCAAGCAAATATGATCTGCACAGGGAAGACAAAATTATGTCCAGAAAGGGAAAAGACAAGTCAATCCACTTAATTAGCAGTTAGAAATGTTATGAAGAGAGGGGAAACTCTGGAACTAGGGATGGGGTTTAAAATGGGCTCTTAAATGTGATGCTCCAAGACAAATGCCAGCCCAGGGTTGGCACAAGGAAGGCCAAAATGTTGTGGTGAGGTCCTGGCTGGGGGTCAAGGCATTGCATGGCAGGTATTGCACAGAGGAAAGGATGGACTCAGGATCCAGGTTTCCCTTCCCTGAAAGGTGGTGTGCTCTGGGTTTGGTGGCTGTTTTCACAAGGACGTGTTTCTTCCACGTCCCTTGGCTGGGAAGTGGTACTGTGGGGTCTGTTTTGTTTGGGCTTCAGAAAGAAACTGATCTTTGAAACATCCTTCTTGTTTTACCTATTCCATCCCCCTCAAAGCCGAATCTGGCAGGCAAACACAACACTAAAGCATCAGAAGTGTGTGTGAGATTAAATTTATGGCTCCTTAAACATGCAAAATCTCACACCTGTCTGCTCTGCAACCCCCATTAAGTATTTTTGCTGTGGCTTACAGCGAATAAATTTCTGTACAAATCTTCCCCTTTGTCCTTCCTCCTCTTGCCTCTTCTCAGCCTGCTGTATCTCTAGAGTAACAAACAGGCCCACAAGGGCAGCTAGAAAGTGTTCAGGAAACTCCGACAGCCTTTAATGCTCTTTGTACTGTCTAGTTTCAGACTAAAGCAAAACCAAAGTGGGAAAACTTTGATTTTGGGTTAGCAAGTAGTGTTGGAGAGTTTCCAGGACAGTGACTAAGAAAGCCAGGTTTGCTTCTTTGCAGGAGGAAGGAGGTATATTATAAATTACAGATATGCCTTCTGTGTAATCCTTCGGGAAATGTGAGTACCCTCTTATAAAGGCACATACACATCTCTGGAGGCACAGGGCTGCAAAAAGAGCCTGGAAACAAAAGGGAAAAACATCCAATGGCTTGTGATAAACAAAATATGTTTTTCTTTTGGTTTTATTTCTATAAGAAGACAAAATATGGGGTTCTGCTGCTACTGAAAATGTGTGTTATTTCTTTTTTTCCATCTTGAAAGATTAGATAGGCAGTTATCATCCCACACAAGAGCCCTTCCCTTTCCGTGTGTGCAAATGAACTTTTATTTGGTACATGCCATTTTTTGGGTCTGAAAAAAAATTAACAACTTTCTCCTGGGCATCCTCTAGATACACTAGTAGCTGTCTGCGTCGGATGTTTTCATGGGCACTTTAAATCTTCTCCCTGAAGGCTCAGCTCTCAGAGACTTATCATAGAATAGGGTTTATTCCATGGCGTTGTGCTGCTGATGGATTAACTCACAGGATACCTCCCTGTGTATTCAAGGCATATTACACTGACTCACAGCAAACTCTAGCACAAACGTCATCTCACACAGCCAACCTCAGAGCTGTGTTCCGGGACTGCGTGGTGGTGGGATAACAACTACAAACAACTTCCAACTAACCGGCAATATGATTTGAATTGTTCATCTTCTATATTTTAAAGCAATACTATCTTTGCTGGCAGGAATTCCTGCCTCCTTTAGTTATAGTGGTATTATTTATACAGCCATGTCTTCTGTGTGGCATATGAACTGTACCAGACAAAGACCAAGGTCATTTTTTCTGCTGCTTATAAAACCTTGTGCTTTAATTCAGGAGAGAACATGGTTTCCCTGATGACTGGTCTGTGGCAGCTAATTATTCCCATGATTGTCCTATCACACTTCTCAGCATCTCTGCCATCCCGGGAGAGGTAAGCATTTCTTGTGCCTTTGCTTCCTTTTCTCTGTGGCTTTTTGTTCAAAGAGCCTGCTAGCTATAAAGTCAGCCTTTTATCTATCTTTCTTCCAGAACTTGCATCTGCTTGGCTGTTGGAATTTTTTTCTTCCCTAAACTGATTTAGCTAAATGACTGCAAATGTTGTAAACATTTTTTCTCACTTAAGAATGGAAACATTGATTTTACTTAATCCAGGAGAAAAATCAGGACTCCAGACAGATCAAACTACTGTAAAAAAAGACATTCTTGAGTCTGTTTTCCTGCTAGGTCCTTATACAGCCTGATAGAGGTGGAAGTTTCTGTTTCAAATAGCCTAGTGCAGGAAGTTTGTGACGGTTAACAAAGATATTTCTTTTAAACTCATGTAAGATTTGCCCCTTTTTGGTGAAACTTTGCCAAATTGGCACAAATTCTTGCCCATCTTTGTTTTGGACCCTCTTTCCTTGAGGGAGCAGTTTTAAATGCCTGTTCTTCTCTGGTCTTAAAACCATGCCTTTTCTCTTCTGCTCCCCAGGACTGAGAGACATGCTGATGGGCTCTTCCACAGTGAGCTCAGCAAGATGAATGGCAACGCCTACGTGCAGCAGCTAGTCAAACACCTGGTGGGCCTCAAGGAGAGGTAAGGACCAGCTAAAACCACCCTCCTGGGGCATGGAAGTCTCCAATGTGAGGCGGGAGCCCAGCAATGAGGGAGATGCCCATGGGGCTGAGCTGTTTCCAGCTCCAGAGCCAGGCTGAGCATTGTCCTCATCCAGAAGATGCCCAAGATGAAAGGAGACAGAAGAGAAGGGGAGGGATACAGGGCTCCTTGGTAGGGGGGGAGGGAGAAATTTCTGGGTCTTGTGTTAAGTCCCATGGCTGGAAGGAGCAGCCATTGTACTGTATTTTCCCTGACACAGGTCCCAGAGGCACTCAGATGGACTGTTTACCAGTGAATACAGCAAGATGAGAGGAAACGCTCAGGTTCAGAAATTCATTCAAAATCTCATGGGCCACAAGCGCAGGTAAGAGCTCTGCTTCCTGGGGAATGGGAAGGCAGCTTGGGGCATGCAGGCTGCGGGGAGGCAGGTCTCTGCTCCAGGGAAAGGGGGTGGCATGGCCAGTGTTTGGAAAACTTGAGACAAGGGCAGGCAGGCTAAGGCTGGGACTGGGACTCCTCCTGCCAGGCTGCACCTGGAGCTGCTGTGCAATAGCAAAGATACCCACAACCCATCCTGCCCCTCACAGCGGGCAAAGCGGGACACAAACCTCCTCACTGAGGCCACTTCTAAGCATAAAACATTATCTATTGCATATGCATATCAATCTTAAGCCATAGGACACAAAACTTTATATCAGACCACAGCCTGGGGTTTTTTGTTTGCATTTTGATTTAGCCTTTTGGGGAAAGTTGTAGGTGATTTACCTACTTCAAATAAAGCACCTGAGAAATGGTAGATAAATGGGCTCTGTTACAGAATGAGGAAGACCTCTGGGTTTCACAGTCCCCACCCAGGGCTCTGACTGCCAAACTGGGCAGGCTTTGAACATAATCATATCTATGGCCAATATGGGGTCTTTCATCGAGCTGAAATATGAGGCCACTAAATCCACATGTACGAGCACATCATCAGTTATACGTGGTGCACTGTGATACAACTCACAGCTGCTGCTGCCCTTGCCTCTGGTACATTATCAAGGGACAACATTGCCTGGAGAGATTTTCTTCAAGCTCAGTCCTTTCTTGAGGGCAGAAACATAGCACATTGATTCCTTCCCATCTGTTCAGGGTGCTTTGATATTTTCTGGGGCATGCACCACTAACAAAATCCTGGCAGAGGCAGTAGATTTTTAATTTCCACATGCTGGAAAAAGGTACACATCCATGGATGGAAGGACATGCCGGTACTGAGTAATGAGGCAGAGTGTGAGTGGATATTAAAACCTGTCCCTTTGCCAGCCAGAAATCATCTGAGCCTGATTTGAAGAGAATACTTCTTTTTCTTCCTGCACAGCTATGGTGACAGTCAGCAGGACCAGAACAGACCATGGACCATGTGGCAGATCCTTGGGCAGGGGGGTGTGAATCCACCTTTCAGAAAGCAGTGCTGCTTTCCAGCTCTGGTGGTTACACTGTTTGTTGATTTGTTGTTGTTCTGGTTTTGGTTTGGTTTGGGTTTTTTTTTATAATATTAATTTTCTCTATCTAAACCAGCTCTTCAGGCCCAGTCAACGCAGATGTGCAAGAGAGAGAGGAAGAAAACAGCCATGAGGAACTTTGCTTTATGTGGTTGTACCAGAGCTTTCTAAACACCAGGTACCTGAGACAGATTTGTCATCTCTATGGCCCTGGTCACCAAAGTGTTGAAGCTGAAAGCAGACTTTTAGTAACTTGTAAATGCCCAGTTTTTGCCCCAAGCACAGAAATCTGACGTAATGCAGCAGATCAGAAGGGCTCAGCTGATATCCTCAAAAATAATCTCAAAAATGGGAAGGGTGGAAGATTTTTTAAATTGTCCATATTTTAAAATCACTTCTGCCTCATTCCCCATCAGCTTGCGGGGCACTGTCTGGGGGACTGTCATTGCTGAATTGCAGCCCTCCATCCCACAGTTTTGTACCCCCTGTCACCCTGTCAGCAGCCACACCCCCAGAGGTGGCTTGCAGAGCTAGAAAAGTGAACACTTCAGTTGGTGGAATTCAGCTATGCACAGTCTCAACCAATTTCCGTGCCTGTGTTCAGGGTAATCTCTATTTCTACATGCCAAGCCTGCCTGGCATTCAGTTTTGCCTTACCTAAAGCACAGCTGGCATTGAGATTTACAGCTAAGAAGTCCCATATGAAAGCCAGTTATTAAAAATACTAAAACCCAGGGAAATGAAATAATATTTTTTCTAATCACAGAGTTGTCATCCTGGACTGAAACATCCCATTATGAAACCTGATCTAACAGTTAAAACGAAGCCTTTGCTACCCTGTCTTGATTCAATTAGTGATTCAAACATATACCTCAAGATGGGCTGTCCCAGCATCTGGACATTGTCTTTTCCTAGTGACCAACCACTTCCCATTACATATCTCATTGTTAAATCACTAAAATTAGGAGGAATACTGTCCCTTAGTACCTCTTGTCCACATAGATTAAAAGGGGATGGTAACACCAAGAGGCTTGCCTGTGCCTTTGTGGGGTGCCTGGCTGCAGGCAGCCATGATGTGGGTTCGTCTATCATACATCTGCTCCCTGGAGTCACCTTTGAATTTTATGAGGTGGCCTTGTCACACTTCTGGCAGTCCGTGCCCCCAGTATTAACAAACTATCACTCATTTTTTCCCTTTCAACAGCCACTCGGACAGTGATGCCAGGGAAGCTGCTGCCATTACCAGCCGGTATGTTTGTCCCATCTCTAAGCAGCTGGTTGCAGACATGAAGGAAGACACAGACAGTTTTGACTGAAGGTGAAAGGAACAGCCAAGGAGAAAGTTTTGCATGTATATAGCCTTGAAAATAAACAGGGAAGCTACTGAATTTGCTTAGGAAAAACTCTTGAGATCAGCAAATAAAAATTCTGGAAAGCAGCCAAAATCCAGTAAAACTTCTTAGATTATAGAATGAAACACATGTCAGTGTGAATTGCTGTCAGTAGATGGAGCCTAAATGAAGCTCATCACTTCCACTTCATGTTAGCATCTGGCTGCCCGCTTCTGAAGTCTAATAAAGATTCCTTAGCTACGCCTGTGCTTCGGCTGCTCTTTGGGAAACAGTAATAAGGGCGGTACCATTGCTAGGTGTTGGAATTAGGAATTCGAGTGGGGGGCAAGACGGATTTTGCCAAGCTTCTCCCACCCGAGGGGATGTTGCCAGGCCTCCCCCGTCCCCATTGAGGCATCTTGGGACAGGTTGGAGCTCCCAGCCACATCTTGGGTGGCTGGACCCAGCCCTCCACAGCCCAGCTGTACAAAGAGGGCAGCATCGGGGTCTCCCGTTCGCAGAAACTCAGCCAGGCACTAGATGTGATTGCAAATAAATATACTGAGAGCTGCACAACATAGATATACACTGTAAATATTGTTTCCACTCCATTGTGCCCCTGTAGTGACTGGCCCAGCTTTCTCATAGCCACTAAAGATAAAACTCCACTAGGAGGAATTTGCTCCCATTTAATGAGGTTTATATGTCACCCCTGCACCACGCTGCCTGGCAGATTCCCTTCTCTGGTAGAACAGTGTCCTGATTTCGGCTGGGGTAGAGATAAATAGTGCTGTTTTGGCTTCAGTATGTTTCTTAGCAACAACTGAAAACATCATTGTATTATCAACATTCATCTCATGCTGAATACTGAACAGCACTATTCTAGCTACAAAGAAGAAAAATTAGCTCTGTCCCAGCTGAAACCAGGACAAACAGCAACACCACCTTTCCTGTAAAACCAAAAAACTTTGAAGAGCAGCCCTAAAATAAGGCATCTTCAGCTGCCTACTGCAGAACTGCTCAGTCCATCCTACACCATCAGTTTTCACCATTTGTGATGTGCCTGATATCTGCAAAGGAGCTTATTGCTCTCAAACATTCATCTAAGCACCCATTCCCTAACCATGATGCTGAAATGCTGCTCTCATGAACCTTGGCAGTTGTTTATTTTGCTCTATAGGAAATCTCTGCTAGGAGAGAGACCTCTTGGAGGACTTTTGGAAGGAGTGTTGACAGTCTGTATCTTGTTAAGACCATGGCCATCTGGCTGAAATGCAGCACCTGAGAACTTTCTGAAATCAACTGGGATTTTAAAAGGAGCAGTGAGAACAGCTGTCCCTTTTCTCCCCCTACACAATGGGCAAGTTGAAAACAATGGTCTTTCTTCGCACAAAGGGCCAAATGCCTTGCCATGTGATATTTGGCTCTGAGAAATTACTCAGAAAAAGACAGGACAAGACAGTGGTGTAATATGCTATTGAGGCTTCAGGAAACTGCTGAGGTGTAGATCTTTGGAGCCTGGATGGAGATTCTGGGGAGCAGCCCTCTAAAGAGCCACTGGTAGAAGGAAGTGTGTGTTGTCCCTACTGGGCAACCACTGGGCTGCAGTGGAGCCCCATCACTGTCTTTGGATCTACTCTGCTTGCCTTGTGATGGTACTGTAGTGTGGTGGGAGTAACAAGATTGTCTCAGAACCATAACTGATTATCTCCACCCAAGGGCTGACACAGGGCTTAGCTCCTTCCTTTACCATCCAAACAGAAGAGCAGCCAAGATGGCTTTGTCTCCACTGAAACCTTTGCCTTTCCCAGAAATAAAGATGAGGCATTTGAGAGCTGCCTTTAAAACTTTTTTTAAAAAAAAAATCTGTTTTTCAGAAACAACATGACAGACTGCAACAAGAATAGAGAAACTGTAAGTCGTGGGCTAGGGAGCAAAACCTGTTGTAAAAGGAATGTGGGCCGTGAAAAAAAAGCCTGGCTGAAATAAATAAGATATAAAGCGTATAGCATCATCATTATGACTTTTTCCAGGAAATGACCTGACCAAGACAGACCCCACTTCTGGCACATCAGAAACATAAATTTGCTCACTCCCTCCCCAGTGGGAGAGGCTGGAGTGTACGGACAGCTTCCCAAGTATCAGCCCTTGTCCTCCTTCATGTTCGTCTTGGGCGGCTTGGTTCTGAATTCAGAAATGCTTCAAATATATCTTTGTTGCTATAGAGAGCTTAGGATAGGAGACACCCAGGAACAAAGTAGGAACGGGAAATTACATGTCATCATGTTCTATGACTGAAAAAATATTTACATCTTTCAATAAGTCATCCAGTGAGTCAAAGAGGCAAAGGTTGAACTGCAGCAATTCACTCTAGCCAGGCGATGTTTTTGCCTTCGTGAAGCAGTGAACGCAGAATACAGCACTGGGAGAAACCGGGAGAGAAGAGAATCAGTTTAATCAGAAACAGGAATCTTTTCAACAACTGGCAGCTCACCATGGCTGTTTCTCACTGGCTTCTCACTTCTGTGCTCTTTCTGCTGCCGTTCGTGACATGGATTTCAGCACAACAACAAGGTAAGCTCTTGCACGAGGTCTGTGACCATGGAGGAATAGCCACCAGAGCAGCAGGTTTCGCCATTATAGGTGGGAGATGTTTACTCTTACTCCAAGATAGGTTTGTTCAACAACCTTCTCCCCAGTGGTAACCAGAGGGGTCTCAGGTCTCACGTCTCACCCAACTCTGTCACAAGGTGAATCCCTGGGCAATTTTGTGTCTCACTTCTGTGTTTTTCCAGGATGTTCTGTCAATAATAACGAACCAAGTGTTTATGAGAATAACCCTCCTGGTTACGTGGTGACTACTATCCATGTGGAACCGAACTTCACTGTAATGATTGATCCTACTTCCCCCGATGCCAGTTTTTTCACTATATGGAGGTCTGAGCTGCAGCTGAACCGAAGTGTGGACTATGAGGTGAGCCTTTAGCTGGCAGGCTGTAAGGATGGGATGGATAATGTTGGGACGCAATGAGTATCAATCTCGGCTCTTGGACTTCCAGAGATTCATGACCTGTTCCTAAAGGATCTAGAAAATAACTTTGAAAAATAAACCTATTTCAGCTGGGTTTGAGTTCACTGTTTGAGAAGGTCAGCCCTTCTGCAAGCAGGGTATAGGGAGAAGGGAGATGCATGGTATGCCTGCTGTCACCTTCCTTCAGTGAGTCTGTATAAATTAAAGCAAGTGGAAGTTTTAAAAACAGAAATGTGACAACTGTAGTGTTCGGAGCTCTCCAGGACTCATGTAAAATGATCCCTGTTTGCCTGTAGAAAATAGAGCCTTGAGCAGTGAGGTGATCTTGCGTGAAGCATGAAGGCAGTGTAAAAGGTCAGTGTGTTCAGTTAGGTTGTTGCTAAATTATTTTACCTTCTGGAGTGCTCTGTACACAGCCACAAGCATCTTTAAGCTGCCTTTCCCCTAATGTAAAACCCCACATTTGAGTGAAGAACAGCAGACGGAGTTAACACCCTGCAGGTGACACTGTACTTGCTACATGGTACATTTCTGCTTCATTCAATTTGAAAAGAAATCTCTTTGAATTCACCTGGAGTTCAAAAATGGCCGATTAGCTCTGCTGACATGTTAGAGGAATCACAGGGAGAGAAACTAGAAGAGTGGTCTGCTTTGACTCCATCATAAACAACATCCCAGCACAGATGCATGGCTGTAAAGGAAAGAAAAGTTAGATATGCCTGAAAACAAGATAAAGCCCAGCAACATTTCTGATTCAACAGTGCATAAATTTGTCTCATTTACTTTAGAAAGAGTTAGTATGTTTTGGCTTGTTTCTACAATGGCTGGGTTTGTTTTTGCATGCAGAAAGACACCTTGCTGCTGGTGTACCTGATTTGTCGGAACGCTGCTGGGCAGGTGAGTGCTCTTCCACGTGCTCAGCCCTGTCACAAGGTACTGCACAGCAGCAAGTTCTTCCCTCTGCTCTTCCTAGCCCACAGACTGGTATGAGGAGATGTCCTTTTCTCTGCGGACATAAGCGCTCCTCTCACAGTCGGAGTGCCCAAGGCCCTGCGAATGGGGAGGGGTGGGAACAAACTCACAAACCCCAGCCCCATCCAGCCCACATCCAGCTGTGCTCCTTACACCATCCCCTCTGGTCACTGCGAATCAGGATCAGCCCCTAACAGTCTTATTTTTGTCTTTGATACTCTCACTTTGCCCTTTCCACAGAGCGATTCGTTGCAAATTCTCGTGACCATTCTCAACATGAACGATAACAGCCCAGTGTTTAAGCAGACGAATCTCACCGAGGTTGTTCCTGAGGTAAGCATTTTACAAAGTGAAGAGGGCACTGGGTCACCCAGTGCTGTCGGACTAAGGAAGGGTTAGCAGGGAGAAGTCTTCAGCCCATTTCACAAAGAATAACCACAGCAATTTTGTTTCAGGATACAAAAGTGAACACAACCATTGTGGCCCGTGAAGTTTTAAGTGCTAGTGATGCTGACCTGGACACCATCTTTTATGAACTCGCAACAATAGTGCCGGTGAGCATCTTTGGGGGGAAATGGTGGCTCTGGAGAAGTTTTCATGTTTAATTCAGAAAAGCCCCAACTCTGAGGCTAAGGTCATTGCATTTAGTTTCTTGACAGCTTCTGGAAGAGGTACATATTTTGTAAAAACCAAGTGTCAGTTTGGTTAGCAGAACAGAGCAATTAATATTGCAGGTATTGAATTCTTTTGCTGCTCACACTTTTATTACACTGTACAGATTAAACTCTCATCTGGGATATTCTGAGCCATATGATCCAGGGTAGTCTTGTTGAGATGGTCTGTAAACACACCAGGAGAGACCTTTGTACCTCACAGAGTTCAGAATTGAGCTGAAATTGGATAAGGAAGAAGGCGTTATTGTCCTGCTTGACAACAGTGTCCATGCAGAGTGGAGATAACATGAGCTGCCCAAGACCACACAAAAAGTCTGTGGCAGAGCCAAAGTCAGACTCTACTTTCCCCAGGTCCCAGTTTAGTGCCTTAGTTTATTTGCTCTTAAGGAGTTTGCTTCATTTCATGGGAAATGAATTGTATACACAGTTAAATTTATGCCAGCCTAGAGTGCAAGGGCCTGCTAGAAATTTAAAAAAAAAAAAAAAGTGAAACAAAATCATATGATGCTTTGGGCTGGAAAGGACCTTAAAGACCATCCAGTCCCACCTCCTGCCCTGAGCAGGGACACCTTCCACTAGCCCAGGTTGCACAAAGCCCTGTCCAACCTGGCCTTGAACCCTTCCAGGGAGGGGGCAGCCACAGCTTCTCTGGGCAACCTGTGCCAGGGCCTCACCACAAAATTTCTTCCTTATATCTAATGTATATTTACAGTTTAAAAAAGCATGTGGAGTGAGCAGGCAGTGTCTGACATTCTGCCTCCATTAGCTCCATAATCCCATGGATTTTAAGGGTTGTGAACAGAAACCACAAGTTTTTGCATTTTAGGAGCCAGACTTTGCCCTCACATTGGTGTAAATCCAGAGGGATTTAGAAATTCAGAGGAATTCTAGTCAAGACATAAGATTAAAGGAGAACCCAAGCAAGTGCAGAAGGTTATAGAGTAAAATGGAGTAAAATGCAATGTATTTTATTTCAATTTGGATTTACAGTTGCTTCTAAAGTTCAGTTGTGCTAGGCTAAGGCAAGTGATCTTGCTGGCTCTCAGAGGCTGAGCTGCCTTCAACCTGTTTTGTGCATGGATGTGAGAGTGCTTGGCTGTCATGGTCCCAAAATCAAGGACTGGTGGCAACCTGTTGAGTGGAGGAAATAAGATTTCATCCAGTACCTGCTGAGCAAGTTGCCAGGCAAAGCAGGGGATCATGGAGAAGAAAACTCATAGGGACATCAACAAACCTTTCTGACAAGCCAGGTATCTCCAGTGTGCAATACCAAAAAGATTAAATAGATCTGGCATTCAGACACTGCCCCCCACCTCCTTCCTCACCTTACAGGTCACTGGGATCAAAGGTCTGGTTGGGTTGACAAACACAGCAATGAGCAGTATTTTGAACATCTCTGTAATTGAGCCTGCTAGTAGGTTTTTCCTTTCCCCCCTGCCAGGGCACAGATGGTTATTTTGCCATAAAAGGAGTTAACAACCCAGAAATTTATTTACAAAAAGCACTGGACTATGAGAAATTTAAATTGACAACGCTGCTCTTGTACGCAAGGGTAAGTTCTTTAAGAGGAAGAAAAACCCACCTTGTTTGCCCCAGTCTCTCAAGTGAAGGGTAAGTCTGAACGGGAGTATCTGGGATGGCAGGAGGGAGGGTGGATACTGGGGGAGGTGAGTTTGGAGCAGCCTTCCACCCTCCATAACTACACAGTGCCAGCCTTGCATCCAGTCCATCTTTGGCACTAGAATGAGATAATTCACTGCTTTAGATAGTCTCACATAAACTGCTAAGCCTTAGACAGAATGGAGTTACAACAGCTAAAAGACAGCTGGGCTGCTGGCTTTTGCAGTTGAGTGGTTCTTCTGGCAATAAAACTTGCATCTCACAAGTATGCTTTGCCTTTGGGTACAGGACAGGCCTGTGGGCAGCACTGAGACCACCAACACAGCTACAACAACAATAAACATATTTATTGAACAAGCTGACACCAAATCACCCTGGTTCCTACCCTGTACCTTCATTAACATGGACAATAGCATTTGCATCAGCAGCCCCTATACTGGGAGGGTCAATATCTCTGAGATGTCGGTAAGCAGGCGTGATCAAACAGTATCCTTGATGCTATTCTCAAACAATATCCAGATGCTATTCTCAGTAGAGAGTGCCTAATTATTTCCATGAGCTCTTGCTGATCTCCGGTCATAAATGCAGATGATTCACCGTGACAGGGAGACTTCACCATCCTGAGAAGTGGAGGTTCCTCTCCCCAATCTCTGCCTCACCAAGCAGCACATGACAGGAGAGGCAAGAGCTGGGAGCCCCTTTACTCTAGGCTGTCTCACCTCTGCCCTGGTACAGCCATCTCCCAACAATCAATGCCATTCTGCCCAGACAAAACCACTAGAGCCATGGATGGATGGATGGATGGGAGAATGCTGCAAATGCTAATTTGGTGCTGTAGTGTGGAATACAATGCTTTGTCTTGTTATTGCAGACAGAACCACTCATTCTAGAGCCGGGGCCTATCTATGCTATCGATCCTGATTACACTTTAAATGAAAAAATCATGTACAGCATTGTTGGTGGTGAGTAGAGGTTGACACCTTCCACAAACTGCATTGCTCATGTCCCCTACGTTACCTACCAAAAGGAGATGCCCTCCACAGCACTTAAGAGTTGAGGGCCTGAGGATTTTCCCCTCTGTTTCTGCCACAGAAACATAACTAGATACACAGAACATCATGGATTAAGTAGAAGAAACAGACTGTACGGAGAGGAAGAGAGAGAACTACAGTCCTACAAGCCAATCTCAATGAAATCTGTATCAAAAGGACTTTGATTTTTGGGGAAGTGAGACATGTTTTATCTTTAAGCTTTTAGACTTGATTTTGTCAGTCTGACCACACCATTTTTAGTCTTTGAGCTGAACCTAAAACTCACACATCACCGAATAATTTTTATTCCCCAGCACATTGCCACTATCTGATCTGCTCTGTTTTAGTCTTGATTTCAAAAAAGATTACTTGAATACAGACAACTGATTGCCCAATCACTGACTGGGCCATTTATTTCATTCAAAGGATTTATTTTTTTTAACCAATAGTGGGGTTTTGAATAACTATCAAGGCAAAGGTAGATCGTATTGGTCAGGTGATCACTTGTTCATCTCCCTTTCCCTGTGCCACATGGCACCACATCTGTGAATATCCTTCTGATAATAAATACATGAAAGAACCTTAAATTCCACTGGCATTTTGGAGGTAGTGTGGTGTCCCTACCCTGCAGACAGTAGGGAACCCCAGACTGAGGAGTCCTTGTCTAAATACAGCCCACAGTGTCTGAGTGAGGAAGAGAATTAAAAATTTTGCTTGTATTTTAACATAAATCCAACACAGATGTTTGTGTGATTAAAAGACAGAGATATAGGAAGCTGATTTCTATCCCTACATCAATACGAGAAGGTTTCTGTGTTTAGGCTCCTTTTGTAGTCAGAAATAAGCATTTCCAGAGCAGAATGCAGCTCACATGGAGCTCAGTGTTCACAGTAAGTCAGATAAAGCGTGCACTGAGATGCTGTTTTCCCTTCACAATATAGGTAACAAGGTCACATAGCGTTGTCTTCCCTTTAGAGCTATTTGAAATGAATCCCCACCCAATTAATCTTTGTAGATGGGCTTCTTGCCTTTAAAATAGGAATAATCCTTCCCTCATCTCTCCTGAAGTGTAGTTTGGGTTTAGTTTGGGTTTGGGTTCAGGTTAGGGTTAGGGAACTGGAGACCTTCAGTCCTCAAATTGTACCAGAGGCTCTAGGCATTTCGCAGAATTTAAGCTGCTATATCTGAGCCTAGGCCCTGGAAATGCAAAACTTTGCTGTCCTACCTCATCTAGGTGGGTTCACACACATCTTTCTTGATTTTGTCTGTTGAGTCCCTCTGAAACCCTGGCCAGCACTGCCAGCTCTTGTAGCAGCCAGGCAGGCAAGGAAAACAGCATTAAGCCCTGGGGGTATTGTTACGAAGATGTGAAAAAATGAGTCAATGAGCTCCAGGTCACTTTATGAAGGTATCTGATGACTGAATTTCCGTTTTCTTTAGGGGATACAGACAAAGTATTCTCAGTGGATGCAGACACAGGGAATTTAACTATGAATAAAGTAGCAACTTCTCCAGACTCATACCTATTGCAAGTTATGGTAAGTCTGATGACATTGCAGACAACAACCCAACATAGCTGGCTTCCGAGGAAGCAGCAGTCTTGATGTGACAGAAGTCAGCTGCGTTACTAATTAAAGCTAACTTGTTACACCCTTTCTTTTGGAAGGGCTTAGTACTTGACTGGTGTCCTATACCTACTTACATTCAAAGCTCTTGCAGGAGTCAAGGCATTATCCCTTATGTGTGGGTTTCAACATCAAACCAAGTTAACCAAAAGGGGACACGCTGATGAGTTGGCAGCATGGAGGAATATAACTGGAAGGCTTTCGTTAGGCATGACTGGAGCTTTTGTTACGGTAGTTAACATAACTTAAGCCTAGGGACAAAGTCATGTTTGGGCTAAAAATCAAGAGGAAAGGAGGGAGTTGAAAAGCACTCCCTGCACACATATCTAGGATGATGTGGACTCTTGGGCAGTAACTGAACTGACCCAAACCCTTTCGAAGATGAGCAGACTCTGCCTGCTAGTGCTGGAATCTCACTGCTTTTTACTGGAGCATTGTAATTTGTCCAGATGTGGCCCTAATGGAGGGACATATCTAGACTGTGTGGAGGGCCAACAGCAGAAGCAAATTATAAACCACAAGGACTCCAAACTGGAAGGCCACCTGTGACAGGCCTGGCTCAAAGCTCACTGAGAGTGATAGAAAGAACCCCATGGGCTGTGATGGGGTTCAGATCAAGCCTATCCTATGTCTCATCACTAATCGGAAAAGGCTAGCCTCTCTCTCTCTCTCTCTCTCTCTCTCTCTCTCTCTCTCTCCAGGCCACCCAGGTCAACAACAAACAGAAATACTCTGTAGTCAGTGTAGAGATTAAGGTTGTCAATAAGAGCAACTACCCACCCTACTTTGAGAGCAGGATCTACAATGGGACCGTATTTGTTGGTCTGGCTCCGAGAAGCTTTGTATTCCAAGCTGGTGATCCTTCAAGTCCCCTGATGATAACAGCGGTGGATGAAGATTTCCCTAATGTAAGAAACTGAAGGTGGACTGCATTCTTTCTCACTGCTTCGGGCTTAAAGCTGGATCAGAAAACATGAGGAAGGGGAGGTGGGGAGAGGCAAACACATTTTTCTCTAGTGTTCCATATTATATTTCCCTGAAAATTCCACATAGGTCAGAACTGCTTATGGTGTGATGTAATGTGGAGAAGCTGCTGGATTCCTCTCTTCCAAAAGCCAGTTCCACCCAGATTTGTGTAGGTGAGCTGACCCACTGCAAAACAGTATGCTGAGTAAAGGCCAGGGTTAGCAAATACTGTGAACAAATCCAGGTTGGAATTAGGACTTGGTGAAGTGTTTCCTTGAAGAGTTTGGGGTGGTGGGATCTTAGGTGTCCTCTCTCTTCCATATGTGGTCTGGCTTGGGAAGAGGAGCCAGACCAAAGACAGCAAACTAGCAAGGGCCTGAAGTCCTGGGCTGGAAATCGTTACCCTTCTCCCTGTAAGGGCTCAGTTTGAAAGAGTCATTCTTGAACAAAGTACTGGGAGAATGGGGGAGAGATTTACTGACCTGCCATTTCCATCCCACCCTATTAAATAAAGAAAAACATGCTAATTTTATTGATGCCAAGGCTTCCATAACAAGACTGGGGACCTAGTAAAGGAATAACACCCTAGACATAAGGGAAAAATTATGCAGACCGCAGCACAAGTGGTGTTCTCCATGTACAGCCCCCTCTGGCACTGTATTAAAGGCAGAACTGATCCAATTTACAAGGTCTCTTGCATAGATGTGTTTTGTTTGGGCAAATACTATAGGTATCAACACAAGCTGGGTAAGACTTTAGATGTTATTGGCAGCAACACTTTTAAAGATAATTCTTGACTTCTGAGCAACAGGATGAACACACAAGTTCAACCTTTCTCACCTCCTCAGTCCAGATTTATTTATTGCGCTATACACCTGCTCACACTTCAGGTGTGTCTGGCAAGTCCTGCCAATGAGTTGTTATGGAGATGCACGCAAAGCACAGACAGGGTGGTTTAATCAGTCACTCTTTTGGCTTTTCAGAAAGTCAACCCAAACATTGAGTACTACATAAAAGACAGCACTGATTTTATCACAACCAAAGATGGACTCGTCCTGACAAACGTAATGCTGCAGTCACCAGGAACTGTGACCATCAAGGTAAAGAAGCTTCATTATCTTTCCAGGGTTGTGGAGGGAAGGGGTAGTTTCTAGTAGAGAAGTACCAAGGGTGGAATTCCACTGGGCAACACAGTCCCTGCCCCAACCATTTGCATCATAAATGTACAGGGATGGAGAGAGATGAAGCAATAGCAAATTTACTCTGTGGGATACAGGTTACATCTGGTACTAGCTGTAAAATTGTTTCTCCAATCCTGTGGAAAAATATAATTGGAGAAAAGCAAAAAGTCAACCAGGGAGATTTTAGGAGCCCCCCTTCCACATTCTGATTAACAAAAAAAGGAGGGTGAGCAAGTGGTTAGGAGGTGGATGTGTAGATATCGTTAGGGTATGATTGCTGGCATATACCCCATCTCTAAAGGCTACAGTTTCAAACTTGGGAATCCTCTGGTAAATCCAGTACTTTTATTTTGCTCAGGTCAAAGCAAGCAGTTGTTAATAACTTTAGACTAAAAAAATAGATATTCACTTCATCCATCTGCCTGCCAGTGGCAATTGGCTCCTTAAGACCTGCCTAGCACAACGCCATGCCCTCTGAAGTGGAGCTCTCTGAACCAGCTTGACTGTAGCACTGGTTTAGCTACATGGGCAGGGCAAGAGAGAGGTGCCAACGCCTGCCCCATGCTATCACATTATTCATGTGCAGCACTGCACTGCAAAGCTGTACACAAATGATGCACCTGGTTCTGGCCCAGAGAGAGCTCTTCCTCTGTGACCAGACTGTCCAGCTACAATGCAGGGCTATTGTGAGGATGTGGTGAGGATACGGCCAAAGTACTTTGTCCACTAAAGGGCCCACTGCATATCTTAAAAGTGAGCTGGAGATCCATGAAGTCCCTAAGCTATCTCTTTCCCATGTTCACATAGGCTATTGGAAAAGATATGGTAAGCCTGCAGGAGGCAAGCACTGTAATCGTGGTGGAGGTCATCCTTGCTGCAGGTAGGCTGGATGTCTTTGTTTTCTGCTTTTTGGAGATGACTGGGGAGTCTTTTCCACTTCTGTGGGCAAACTGGCAATGACAAGTCAGCCACTGAAGTCTGTGGACCTGGGATGAGGCCAACCCGACACCTACAGGAGGTTCTATGGTGGCTATAAGAGAGAAAATGTTCAAACATCATCTTTATGACATGGCCACCACACCTGCCTCAGACAGCCTCCTGAGACTGAGTGCTGTGTATTGTAGTGTCTTTTCCTGTTATTCCAAAGCTAAATCTGGGGTTACTTCATGCTGTTTTGTGGGTCAGAAATAAACCAGGATGTCTTGTCATGGCAAAGGAGGGTTGCCCTGACACCTTGATACATCACTGCTCCTTTTTAGACAAAAATTTCAGCACAGAAAATTTAAACCACAGAACATAATGATGCTGGCCACTATGCAAAAACGTAGATTGAAATTACCCTGAATGGCTCAGAACCTATGAGAGGGATTGTGCTTTACTCTATACTATAGGCAGCACCCAGGAATGGCCTAAACAGAGCTGAGATTACCATTTGCCTGGCCAATCTGTAGGGTATTTAGCCCTCAGCTCGAAGAGGCGCTGCTAAGGAATGTGCATGCAATGGGTTGGAGAGTCCTTTACTGAGCATTCCAATATGCAGGGACAAACTAGACTCATTTTTAATATACTTCCCTTCTGGGAAGTGGTAACTGTACATTGGCCTCTGGTTTCTGAGATACTGGTGCCAGAGTCAGTTTATACTGGTCTCAAGGTGAGTCATGCCACCAAGCTGAGCTAGCTTTCACAAAGGCACCACGTGCTGCACAGCACAGGAGGAGTTAAGGGTGGAAGAGTTTCACTTCAGCTCTGTGACCTGTGGCTCCCTAGGAGACATCATTAAGAATCAAAAATTCACTGACATCCTAAACCCCTACCAATGTATTAATGATAAACTGAGAGCGCAATCAAATGCAGAGAAAATATACAAAGTCCATTGTCATAAACAGGTCAGCAGCACAACAAAACTATGTTTCATTAATGATTAAACTTTAAAGAAATTAATTTGCACTACAAAACGAAGCTGGAAAACTGAAATATAAAGAACTCCACTGAGAACAAGAAGTAAAGCTGATTAACCCTGAGGAATTTACTGTCTTTCCACTATAATGTTGATCTCTACACCAAAACACTTACACTGACTGGCGGCTGAAAGCATAAGCTGCTCCTGAGAAGGCTCGTGTACACTGCTACAGCTCCAAAAGGGCAGGAGAGCCTTTTCTGCAATGGAGCCTTTTGAATGCTTTTCCTATTTCCTATTACGCTTTTTTATTTCTTACTGTAATGTGCTTATCGGTATCAGAAGTGATGTTCTGGATTAAAGGAAGCTTTGCATTTTCACATACATATGTACAAACATAGCTCATTTTTGCTTTCTGTTGTAAATGGGTGAAGTGGGAAAGTAAAAGACCTACCTAGCTTTCCTCCATGTAACATCTACTTGCCCAATACAGTCATATATATATATATTAGCTTTGATAAATCATAGGGTAAAAGTATTTGTTCTGTAAATGGATGTTATTTCCACTTCATGTAACTTATTGGAAGTTATAATACTCTCTGAGTGGTCACCATAAAAAAAAAACCCTCTGCTTTTAGGACTGCAAATGAATGGCCTTCTGTGATATTAAATATATCACTGTCACATTCTGCAGCACAGAATGCTTCTTTGCCCTTCAAAAACTGGTTGGAACTTCGCCCACAATGAAGTGTTGTGTTAAAAAAGCTACCTTTTCTTTTTAGGCTTTGTAACACTGGTTTGTTTCTCTTGCAGCTACAACCTCCTCTGATAAGATACACACTGCCCAGGATATGGCTATCTTAGGTGGTACATTAGCAGCACTGCTATTAATTGCTTTAGTCTTCCTTGGAGTGATGATATATAAACAGTATCGAAGACCAGTTAAAAACCTGGTAAAGAACAAGGTAAGTAAATGCCATATTTTTACCTGAATTTCTTAATTAGAAAGTGGGATCTGAGAAGGTTTTAAAGTATTGGATGGGTTGTCTAAATACTACACGTTTGTGTGAAGGTGATGAATCACTCCTATCCTAAAGCGTGGGCTTAGACAGTTGTCTGCACCTGAGCTATATACTTTTGGCTCTCTCAAGTCCCTAGCAAACTGGTTACTTTGAAGTTTAGAGTGTAATTCATCTGACCAGATGTTGGTCTCTGCCTTAGGCCGGGACTGTCAGGAGCCTAGACTCCACTGACTACAACACAAGTCCAGAACACACAGCTCAGGTGAATAATAAGTCCTTCACCGTGAGTGAGGTAAATCCCACTCCAGAGCAATACCTCGAATAGGTGGGTACAAATCAGTATACATTTCTGGTGCTCAGCACTCCTGGAAAATGTGCCCATGCTTATCTGGAAAAAAAAAAATAAATCAGAATTTGTCACTAAAAAATGTTTGTTCTGGGGAACCATATGTTTCCCTGGCTTCAATTAGGTCTAACAGCAAAACAAGCTGAAGCTCTCCTGAACAGTAGCGCAGTCATTTCAGCCACCCCTTTTTTCTCCTTCCTGTTTCTTTTCCTTTCACAACAATAATAAGGTGTCTCTCCTCCTGTAGTTCTCCAGGGAAATCTCTGGGGGTTACCAGAACCAATCTTACAAGGAAGATGAACACCCAAAGGTGAGCACCAAACAGCATGGGACATCAGAAAATGGCAATGACCAGTGGACGACGCCTGTGCAAGAGCAGTCAGCACTCTCCTTGCTCTCTTCTGATGCAGAAGAAATTGGTAGCCTCCCACAGGCTTCTATAGCTTCCACCATCATCTCTGACCAGGGAGAGAAAGAGGAAGAAGTGGAAGAAGAGAAAGAAGAGAATGAGCATGAGAAAGAAGTGAAGTCTATCCTCAAGACAGAGAGGCATGTGGCAGATGATGGCTACAAAGCTGTGTGGTTTAAGACTGATGTGGATCCAGATGCTGGAGAGAGGATTGAAGTTATTGAGGACAATGCAGCAGATGACGATGATGACAGTGACCAAGATCTGCAGAAGAATGAGAATGAGGAGGAGGAGGAGGAGGAGGAGGAGGAGAAAGAAGATTATGACAAGGATGATCACCACAGAGGGCTAGGAGTGTCCTTTGCCTCAGAGCACTCATCACTCCCAGCTGCAGAAGTGATAGTCAACATGTCTCGCACAGATGCAGTGACAGAAGATGACAGGGACATATAATGGAAATGGTCTGCACTCTCCCCCCAAAATGTGGGAATCTCAGCTGCTCTGCTGACATGAAGCCCATTTTTCTTCTCAGGGGGGAAACTGGAATGCAGGAGGACGAGGCTGCCTGTCCTGCTTGTCTGAATGCAGCAGTTAAAGCTGGAAGAGATTACAGCTAATTCAACCTTTTAGGGAGACCCTGAAATATCACTTAGGATTTTGGGGAGAGGAACACGTCTCATCTCTCCACCTTTCTTCCTGTTCCCCACAGGCCCCTTCATCACATTTCCCAAACTGGCTGCAGGTACAGCAGAGATGTAGCTGAACTGACTTTGAAGCAGTCAACCCAGCTCATGGTAGCAATTCAGTTACACAACCCAGTGTTCATCTCCTCTTGGTGGGTATCTAAGCCAGCACTGACTGCTTGCCTGTTCCCTTTGGAGTGTTACAGTTTGGTGCCAGCTGCAGGACATAAGCCAGCACAAGTCACCCTGACCCCACAGTTGCTCATATGACTGTAGCCAGGAGCTCACTCCAGGGCTTGGCTCTGCTCTCTGTTGTTGCCACTCTGTGCTCCCAGCACAAGCAGCTGGCATGGGACACCACTGTCCTCGTCCTGCCAGCAGTCAGGAGTTTACGTGCTCGGGAGCTGCTGTTTCCTCTGCCACCAGTAGTCAAGGGTTGATCATGTGTTCTTTACTGAAGGACTTTGTCATCAATTTTTCTGTGTCATAAAACCACTAATTGTGCAGTATCTCTTTAGCTGTCTGTCTCTTATCTGTCAGGTAAAAGAAGAGCTCCTGCCAGGACCTGCCTTGCAAACTGCCAGGGGTATTTCCAGCTCTCTGGGCTTTTGGCAGCGATAAGTATCATTCCAGAGCTGCTGGAGGCAGGGTCAGCACATTGATTCCCGTTGTTTCCCTTGTCCAGCAGAGCTCAAGGTGTCCCTTTTATCATTGCTGTGAAGGTGGAGGTCAGCAGAGCCTCCAAGTGCCAGGTGCCACCACCATTTTACTGCTCCTCTCATCTCAGATGCCAACTCCCTTGCATACCACCCTTCTCCATTCATGAGGAGCCCAGCAGGCTCTTTTGCTGTAAAATACATCTTTCAAGCTTCATCTAGAGCTGAGATGCAGCCTGAGAGCAGAGATGGTTCACTGAGAGCAAGTCAGCTCTGCCTGTCAGTTCAGGCTTAAGCTAGAAAGCCTGCTGACCTCTGGATTGACTTCATGGGGTGACAGCACCATAGCGTGTTGGACCCCTCCTCCCTCAATCCTCCCTCATCTTTCAGCAATATTGTCTCAGTTACGATCCTGCTGTAAAGCCCCAGTTCAGCAAAGTGAGCACACCATTTCCAGGCAGCATGGGGAGTAAAGTCTTTGATGCTCTGGTGTAGATTTACACCTCCCATCAACCAATATCTTCCCCCAGCTGTCAACCAAAAGCTGGGCAGATTTCCACTGTCTGAGAATGTGGCTGTGTGCATTCACATCTTCTGATCTATCAGCACAAAATTGGTGCTGCTCCTTCTCATGTTGGGGCTAGCTACAGAGTAGACATGGGCTGCTTAACTTTCAGTCAAAAGCTCGTGAATTTCCAAGGCAGGGATGTAGCAGAAGGATCATGGGTCACTAATATTTATCTCACTTTCTCAGCTTAGCACAATAGCACAGGATTGCAACAAGTTAAGTCTCATGGTAGAGAAGCAGAACCGATAAATAATCCTGCCTTTTCCCTACAAGCCAATCTCCACATTGCTGTCATTACTCTTGAAAGAGAAAAAACAAAATATGGCAGCTGGGATCTGCACGTACACCAAAGCACAAATGATTCCCACAGAGGCTTTTATCCTCTTGGTCCATACTTTATTTCTGTACGTCTCCCTGTTGCAGTGTTGCTAGTGCTCTGTTCTGCTCTCTGTCCTCTGAGGAGTGTTGTCCTTGCTGGGTGGACTTCAGGAGCTGCCCTTTTGCTGAAGGTGGAGATTGAGATGTGGAAAGCTTTTTTCCTTACTGCAATAAAGCCATTTGCCCAGAAATTACAGGTATGGTTTATCTGATAACAGAAGGTGGGGAGTGTGCCCTGTGTTTGCTAGGTAAGCATGGTTCCTCCAGTATCTTAGGGTTATCTCCAGCAAACATTTTCCATGGGACCAGTAGTTGCTAACAGTTACCCCAATGCTTCAGCCACCGGCAAGGGTGAGGGTAGAGCCCAGCCTGTCCCCACGCTGGTGCTACTCATAGAAGGACTGCTGCTGGGGAGGTTAAGCTAGCGTGTTTTTACTCTGCCCCCCTCCAGGCATTTACTTTTTTTTTCACCTCTGGCTAAAGGTCCAAAAATGTGCCACTGGCTTGCTGTGCACCAAGAATCAGCATCTACAAGGGTTTAGTGGTGCTAGATACCCAGCTGATCAGGGATCATGTCCCAGGTCAGTGGCTGCCAGAACCCAGCTCACATGGAACAAGGGATCATCTCTCTGGAAGCGAAGCAGAAACCTGAATCAAGAAGCATATGCTGCACTAACGCACCAGTGAGTGCTCCCCATCTGATGGGCAAAGGGAACCCACACAGCACTCTGCTAACCTGTGTGGGTATGGGAAGAGACTGGAAAGGGTGAGGAGGTTAAAGAGATGGAGCAAAGTGTGGATAAAAGCAATCTGATGTTCACCAGCCCCTCTGCCCTAGCTTTCTGCAGCTGGGAGCAGTGCCTATCAGAACCCAGCTATTGTTATCCACAGCTGTGTTACATGGGTTGCAATTGGCCATTCTTGCCTCAGCGCATTAATGAGGAGCTTTAAATTATTTTAAAGCATAATGACCTGAAAAGTGACTGACTGGAATTGGGAAGGAGAACTGCTGATTCCCAGATCCTGTCTGTCTTTAATGAACCAGGAAGATCATTTTTGAGAGAAGTCCTGACACAGACAGACCTGTTTACTGAAAGCGAGGGACAGGAGACAGGCTCCAGCTAGTCCTGGTACAGCTGGACATGTGCAGTCAGGTACTGCTGGTCTGGCGGCTACAGCAACGTGGCGAATTTGGCCCCATCAGCTGCTGCCAAAGGTGATACCACCACAGTGATGATGGGATATGGACATATGCACACACAGCTCTCCAGACCAGCTGCCCCTGAAGTGTGCTAGAGCAGAAATACTTCCTCATTTCCTGCAGCATCTTTCTAGTCATGGGATTACCTGAGACACAACTTTCCTTTCACTTTTACAGTTGGAGACTGTTTTTCTGTGGACTATCCTTCTCTAACTCTTCTTTTTACATACCTGGAGAAAGGTCCAAAAGACTGTTTCTTGATACCTGTGACCAGTGACTGAACTGAATGGATTCCAGCAGAAGGCAGTTTGTGTGAGCTGACAGTGTAGCTGCTCCATTTCCCTCATTGCCATGCCATATGTGATCTATTCCTGTCTCCTGGCACACTCTTGTAGGTCTGTCTTCCCTCTGCTCTATATTGTTTGGGCTTCTGGGCACATGTGTAGGCACACTGATTTATGAGCTCCCGCAATCTGCAATCTGTACTCATGTGTTGGTGCTCCACCTTCCCTCATTGGTATGCTTCTCATGCTTTTGGCCTTTCCTGTTGGCACGCTATTTGAATCTAGGCACCCTCTGTTTGCTATTCGTTGGCTGTTGGTGCTCTGGCTTCCCTCTGTGCAATTGAAATCCTGTCCCTGTGCCGCTCACCTGCCAGGCTCGCTGTTGGCAGTTTGTTCCTCTGCAGCCCCAGCGGCTCTGTCTGTCCCCTTACTAGCTTTTATGTTCTTGTTCTTTCATCCTGCAAAATTCGTACTGGAAATACCCAGAAGTTTGTGCCTTAAACCAAAAGTTAAACCGCAGCACTCAGAAGGGGAAACGTGTGTTCAAACAGTGCCATCACATGGACATGCAAAGGCATCTGTCTGTTATTCACAGTTTGAATGAGAAAGCAGGAAGTGAAGGTGCTTCCAATTAGACCCTTCCTTCAGAGCCATGTGGTGAATTGGGGTGTCCTGTCAGCAGGAAGGTTTCAGTCACCTTTCCTCCCTTGGGGTAACAGCCGAGAGAGGGACAGAGGGAGGTTGGGGGCTGTCTTCCTTTGCCGGCAGACCAAGGGAAAATGTTCTTGAGCCATCACTTCTGGTGCTGATCCTCACCACCACTTCTCTGACCCCACATCCTGTTTCCAAACTTGAGTCTCAAAAGAGGTTTTGGCACCTCTTTCTTTTGTTCTCTCCATTGTAGTGATGTCCAAGGACCCCTATTTCATTCTGCAGCCTCTTCCCTGCAGGTACACTGGGAGCCATCAGTGTCACGCTCAGTTTGAGAGCCATCCCCACGCCCTGCCACGCCGTTTCTGTTGTTTTATACCTCCAGGAGACTGTGGGAGTCCCAGCTGTTCGGCTGGGGTACATGCAGGGAATTAAAAGTCGTCTTCCCTCTTATGGAGGAGGCCCTGCCAGGGTCAGTCACTCTTCAGGGACACAAAGAACAGTAAGCAGGAGAGCTCTGAGTAGCAGGTCCCAGAGCACACTGCATGTGATTAGCTGTATGTCAGCCCCAGTGAGCTTTCCTGCCCCTTCCTGGCCACAAGCAGCCTGGATGAAGCCTGCAACATGAATGTGGGGGCCACGGAACACCGTGAAGTCTCAGAGACATGTACTTCACCTTTCCAAGTATGCTGAAAAAGACCACAGCCTCACAGATGATAAAGTGTATGTTCCTGGTAAGAAGGCAAAAGAAAACCTTTCCTTCCCCTTGTACCATGGTGAGCTTGGGAGTTGTCCTTGAAGTGGGTCTTGTCCTTTGATGGAGACCATCATCTCCGTGATACAGATATCAGCCTGGCACACCCCACAGTCAGGATGCTGGCACACGAAGCAGAGATATCTACAAAGAGGGATCACGTTTTTCCTTCCCAGTCTAGCATTGCTCAAATCCTGTGGCACTAATCTGACGTGCAGAGAAAATTAGCAACATCTTCCATCATGCTTCATTCATTCTCTTACTTTTGGGTGAGATTTCAGATTTGATTTAAGGAGTCTGGTATTTCCTGTGTATTTCCTCCAGTAAATACCTCTCCTGGGAGGTAGGTCAAAGATGAGATCCTTATGGGTCTTCTGTTTACACCACCATAATTTCTGAGAGATGTGAAATCTCCCAAATCATCCTCCATCACATGAAGATACCATCTCAGCAGTAACCCTATCCAGATGAAAGAGAAGTGTCTAAACCACAAATTGGAAATAAATTTGAAATTCTATTGGGAAAAATAAATTCCATTAGTGGAAAAATATTATCATAATATCAATGTTATGTGATCTTCAAATGTGAATAAATTCCAAGTATATCTTTAAGATTCATCTTTCAAACAGAAATTGGATAGGTCCAGTTAAACCAGTCTTCCATCTCTAACATCATTACATACAGGCACAGTATTTGGTATTTTTCAGGGTTATGCTGTATCCATTCAAAGGAGATGAAGTTTTGTAAATATTATGTCTATGGCAGTGGTAGCTGTTGTTTTTGTGAGCAGCAGGCAGAGCTCAGCCTCTTTGAGCTATTGCCTGTTAAAGCCTCCAGATGTTCTTGCCTCCTGTCCTCAGCCTGCCCCGACAGTATTTTTGGTTTAAGAAAATCATTGGAAGTGGACGAAAAAATAGCAATTAGTCTGAAAAAGGTAGACAAAACTTTTAATTTTTGTCTTACCTCTAATGTGTTATGGCTATTTCTGACTTGTTTATGGGTTCTTTCAAATGGAAATAATATACAACAAAGAAAATGACTAATTTTAAAGAGGAAGATGACTCTTCTCCTTTCAATCTCTTTTTTTTTGGAAAGGAAGTAAAATGTGAAAGGACCAAGAAGAAAATGAAATCTTTTAAATTCAAATCCATCTGAGATTACACTAAATCTGGTTGGATTTGTTTGTCTGTTTAGGCTGGGAAGATTGACTAACTTTTTGTGTTACTGTACTGTAGCAGGAACCCCTTTTTGCAGGATGAGGCCAGAGTCAAGACACACACTAATATGGTTAACAGTTGTGCTCCAAAACTGTATTAGAAAACAAGTCCTTATATATTCTTGTGCATGCTAAAAATAGCAGCAAGCCCTTATATACTTGTTGCTACCTTGCATTACTCTTGCACATGCTTATTTCAAAAAATAGCTCCCCTTGGTACTTTCCACAAACATTGCTACGGGCATGCAGCCAGTAGATAAGTTCCTGCTTTTGTAATTCCAACGAGTCGAGTCCCTTCTTTATCAGTTTCTTCCTTAACAAGCACATTCTTTTCTTCTGGCCTTCTTGCTTTTAGACTTCGTAAATCTTCTGACCCGAATGCTAGTTCTACTTTTGCATTGTCAGTGTGTGCTGAAAGTCCAACAAGCCAGCATAAGCACCCACACTGTACAACAATCATGTTCATTTGTATGAGAAAAATATACTAAGTAATAGAAATGTTTTTATAAAATTGTTTGTATCAGTTGGAAGACTTTTGATAAAGGAAAATAACAAAATATTTCAGTTAGCTTTTAAGTAAATATCATAGGTTCAGATATGAATATTATGAGAGCACTATGACTTTTCTGGGTCAGGCATAAAGTTTCATGCACCAGTTTCCACGTGGACCCTTTTCTGTGCAGGACTGAAAAGCATTTAAGTGCTTAAACTGAAGTGGTTTTGGATAGCAAACGAGCATCTAAGTACTTTTAAAAGCTCCTTAAACTCCAAAAACATTAACATGTTTTTTAAAATTTATCTCTACAGGTAGATTTAAGAAATCTCTTTCACCCCATCCACAATCAAGCTTTGATTTTTAGTTCTGTAGAAGCTTAGAATATTTAATATCTGTTATGCAGATCTATAAAGAGCCAAATCTGGTCTTTGACTTGGGTTTTGATGACTGCCTTTTCCTACTGATTATTTTATCTGGCTGTTTTAGGGATGTAAAGGTCAGCTAGGGCAGCCTCTCTGATAGATGTAAACCACTAAGGAACAAATTACACAGAACTAGGAATCTTCAGTGCTTACTTGCCGGAGTTAAAAACTAAACCAAAAAAACCCCACCCCAACCTCTAATCATCTTACTGCAGTTTTTCTCCGTAAATTCAAAATATTTTCTCACAAACTCACACTGGTATTAGCTAAAATGCACAGAAGCAGGAGTGGAAAACTGTCACATAGCTTGCAATTATGAGAAGAAGCATTAATTCAAGAATCTGGATTCTATAAATGGGTGTAAGACTTAAAATATACTAACATTCTGCATGCAATGTGGCAATCTGGCTCAGAGAGTTCATGTTTTTCCTTCTAATGTAATGCCAGTTCTAAGATCTTTGAAAAAATGTATTGCAATATAAGATATGTAATTATTTTCAGATTTCTTTTCCCTGCAACAGTTTGGAGTAGCACTTTGTGATCTATGGCACATGACCATGCAGGGCAGAATTCTAAGGAATTTGGTCCACCCATAGCATAACCCTGGCTTGACAGGGTAGGAAAATCCACAAATCTGTTGTCCACAGATCTGCAGGGGGAAAAATAACAGTTTCAGTGTGACGGTGGTAGATGCGGATTTGAGATTATGGATGGAAGCTGAAGGGAGACTGAAAGCACTGCAGAGATGACACAGCTGCCGAGATGATGCTAGCGGTGTTTCTGAGCTTTGAGCACCCTCTTCTGGAGTAACACACACCTAAGAAGTGGCCACTTAATTTTCATTCAGCCTTTACAGAGAAAAAAAGCAACGTCTCTTCTTGGCTGCCAGGGTAAACTATAAAGCTGAATCAAAATCAGCAGACACAAGCAGGGAATTTTTTTAAAAATCAAGTAAAATACTAAAATGAGTTATTAAGGTCAGTTGTGAAGAAAAAAACCTTTTTACTTAGGAAATATTCAATTTGCTTTATGAGGTGAGGTTTTTATTATTGATCACCTTTCCAATAATATCAGGCAGCTAATCTATATTACTCACAGGAAATTTTTGCCCATGTCTAAGGCAATTCCTTTTTTTCAGCTTCCCCGTATTTCAGTTTCTGCAGATACATAATGCAGAAAGGAGCAAGACATCTGTACATTGAAGACCCTGAAGATAGCGGACTTTATTTAGATCTCAACTTTCACATAAAGATAGGCAAACAGCTAGTCCTAACTTACTTCAGTTAGCCTGAAGAAACACAAGGCAGTACTGAAGAACAACTTGTAACTATTGTGGGGAGCTGCAAAGCACTTCAGCCATCTTATTAGGTTGCTAACTCTGGATATGCCTATACCACATAAAGGCAGAGCAGAAAAAATTGTTCTCACTGCAGGACTGTGCTCGGGCACTGGAAGCAGCACAGCAATATTACTGCAGCTTGTTGGGCTAATTCTCTCTCGCCATGCTCGCTGAGAGAAGGCAATAAAACGGGCTGAGCACCACATTAACACAGCAGTACTGCCTCAGGGGCCTGAGCTATGCACCCTTTTGTTCAGACCAAAGCAGTCACTTGGAGCCAGTTTGGGCACCTCAAACGCGGCATTGTATTTGACTGGCATACCTGAAAAGAGGCTTTCTGTGACAACAAAGCCGAGCTAATGGCTAGTTTGCATGTCTAAAGGAGCGGTCTCCTCAGAGAAAACAGAATTGTCTCGTTTTTCTGAGAAACAACCGGGAGGAGATCAGCGGATTTCGGCCGTCAGCAGAGCCCCTGTGCGGTCAGACGAGCGGCAGAGCCGCGCAAGGGAAGCGATGGGAACACATACAGGCGGGAAGAGGAGGAGGCAGGAGCGCTCTTCGTGGCGAAAGCCGCCTTTTGGATGAGATTAATTACAAATGCACGATTTATTTCTCCCTGGCGGAGGCGCGCGCCGCCGGAGGGGAAACTCGACTTCCCATGGTGCAGCGGGGCGGCGGGGCGGAGCCAAGCCGGCCTCGCGCCCGGAGCGGGCGGCCAATGGGGAGGCGGCTGGCGGCGGTTGGAGTTTGAATTTTGAA